ACGACGGCAGCATCCACGCGGGGACAGACATCCTGGCCGTGATGTGGGTTCGGGCGATTGCGTTGGACGTGGCATGTGGCACGTCAATGGCAGTGGTGCTGCTGCTGCTCCTCACAAAGCCCAAGAGTCCAGAGTTTACAGTCCAGATGAACAGGAAATTGGGTTTTAGGTAACCGGGCGCAGAGTTGGCAGAAAACAGAAGGTCGTTTGGCCCCGATTCATGACGGCCGAGACGGTTCAGTTCAATCCGGCAGGCCATCTTTGCAGAGGAACCTTTGCTAGCCGCCATCGCCTATTCTTCCGCATCAATAGACCGGTCCCCGCACAGCTGAAAGGCAAAGTGGACGACACGGTGGAGGGGGCAATGAGTGATGGGAGTGAAGACGAAGACGGCTCTGGAAGGGCTCAATGAGGGGGCGACCACGGCCCATCATCCCATCATTCATGGCTGCCCCATCCCTTCTGGGGCCTACCATCCGATTCACCTGCCGAAAAGTCGATAACGCGGTGGCCACGACCCCGGCCATAGCCCGGACACACAAAGGACAGAGAAAGAGAGGCTCGCGGGATGTGGACGGTCAACGGGTCTGCAGAGCAACGCTGCACGGCTTAATGTGAATTTGACACCACTTGGGCATATGGATGAGGTCGTAGTAGAGGCATGCTGAATGTTGTGCATTCTATGAAGAGGGGGGAAACTGAGGGGGCACAGGGTGACAATACACGGCATATCTGGCTCAACTTCCAAGAGGACACAAGACGGGACGATGCGACCGGAGGTGGATGTCGCAGGGGAAACAAAAGAAAGACGGCCCAGTATTGATACGCCCGGACCACCGTCTAACGGCCTGTTTGCTTGCTTTAAACCGAAAAGGGGCTGGGCCCCTGTTGGCTCTTCGGGGGCGAAGGTGGGCATCGGGAACAAGCCGCCGGTCTTCATGACTTTCCGAAGTAAGCTTCGCATCAGACTGAGCAAGTTGGCGAACTTTTGATGTGCAGGTTCCGAAATGTGTGGCGAATGAATGTGCAATTCATTTACGTTTGCAAAGACCATGAACGGGCTCTTGTGAGGTTTCGGGAAGGTGAACAGAATGCCATTTCCGCGGCGCCATCCACTCCATTAACCTAAAAATTGCGTTGAGGGGCTCACTGACTCTGATTCTGCCAGGGGCAATCGGAAGGCCGCCGGGCATTCCCTACCTCCAAGTGGTCAGCGCCATTAGCATTCCATCGCCTATGAGGAACTGGTTCCTGCGGTTAGTGGTATCTAACCTTAATGGGATTCTTAACTCTGTTCGCCGCGGAACACGCGAGAAGCTCGGAAGCTAGCTTTAGGCCCAACTTTGTCAACCTCGTGCGGTGCTTTGCTGCCGATTCAGCACCCCAGACTTGCACTTGCTCAGGGCCAAGGAGTCTGTAAGACATGATCAATTGAAATGCAGGAGGTGCAAGTATCCGTCGCAAGAAGAGCTTCATCCAGAACCTGTAGAACGTGATGTTGGTTGTGTAAACGAGCCTTAGAGCCATGTTTTCAACGGCCGGTTCATTCGAGACATGTTACACACCGATGACCTCAATGAATGTCTCAACCGGACGCTATTCAACCCAGGCAAGGGTGCTGGAGACAGCATTCCCGTAGCACTCGCATCTACATGAGAACGAACCGGAATCCCGAGAAGACAATGTGACGATCTCTAATGAACCCAAGTACAGAACAGCGAGAGGTGTTGGGTGCATGCCAATCCTCGCGGTAGCTGAACAACCCAGCTTCCTGGGATGATATGGAGCTGTGCCTTACAGATGCGACCGTCGTAGCCCGGTCCGCTGTGTGCATCCGCCGGCTGGGCATTCTTGGTTTTTGCATGGCAGAACAGGCCCTGGAAGGCTGGCCAAGAGGCAAGAGGGTGGATAAGGCTAACATGCTCCACTGAAGAGGAGGACGGCTGCCGAGATGTTGGTCGCCGGGTTTGCATCTTGACTTCTTCATTCTTAAAGAATTCTGTGCTGTTCATGCATTGATAGAGTCCAATGGATTCATCCAAAGCTACTGGAGGGTCGCTGGCAATGGGCTGTCGTTCTCCTCGTCGATTATCGCCACATGCACTCCTGTACCCAATACATTTATCCATGATGTCTGAGCATCAAGCCGGCGGGTCTTCTGTGTGCGTGCCGCTTGTTTTAATGACAGTATAGCCTACCTTTCAGCTCATCCGGCATTTGAAGATACTCTGAGAGACGGCAGACACGTATGTAACGGGTAAGAATTACTCTATAAAATATTTCCCTTGAACCCCGCAAGCCCCAAGAGCCGAAATATCTATGGCAATCTATCATGCAAGTAGCTCCCTCGCAACCTCGTATGAGTTGATGTACTCAATTCCCTCTTTCCTCCAGGTATCATCTTCCACGAAGCTGTTGCTGGCATTCAGGACCAGGTTCTTCGGTGCCGCAAGGTCATACTTAGGCCAGTACGGCAACAACCCATCCCGTTTCGTCACATTCCCAGCCTTTGCATTGGGATCCAGGTCATTGACGAACCTCACATAGGCCTGCCCAATGCCCCGCGCCAGCTCCAGGTGGCTATCGTACTCTGGCGAGGGTCCCAACAACCCACTGATGTTCTGGAAGCTGAACGCGACGTTATCAAAGTGCTGCACGCCGTCCAGCTCGGCCCTGTTCCACAACCGCTGGTCGAAGCGGTAGCTATACACCGGCTGCCCCGCCTCGCCCGCGTACAGCTCGCACATCTTCCGCCGGCCCGAGATCATGACCAGGTCCCCGCCGATCGAGGCACCCCGCCGCCACTGCAGGCCCTTGGCGGGGTACACGGAGCAGTTCCAGATGGAGTGCGGCGGTTGCGTGCACGGGTCGTTCGGATACAGTTCGAACAGCTTGCGGATCGTCGGCGGCGAGAGCGCGTAGGAGCGCCAGAACATGAACCCGTTGAGCAGGTTCTGCTCGGTGTCGGGCTTCGGGCTGTTGGGGTTGAAGTTGATGCCCTCGTCGCTGTTGGCGCCCGTCAGGAGGGGCACCTTGACGTACTTGCCCTCGCGGATCAGCTGGCTCGGGTACCCCGTCAGGAAGTCGCCGTCGACGAGCGGGTTCCAGACCTGGCTGGGCTTCGCCGCGAACAAGTCGTTCTGACTGAGGCCGCGCAGGCAGGCGAGCTGGTCTTTGGCGGTCCAGCAGCCGGTCGTGCGGGTGAGGTTCTCGACGGGGACGGTGTAGTACGCCAGGTCCTGGACCTGCGCGCCCGTCGGGCCGCCGCTTTCGAGGATCGCGGCGCGGTAGAGGCCGTCGTCGCGGCCGTCGTAGCTGAAGAGATGGTAGGCGATGGACTGGGCGCCGGCGCTTTCGCCCCAGATTGTGACCCGGTCCGGGTCTCCGCCGAACGCGGCGATGTTCTCCTGGATCCACCTGAGTGCCAGCCTTTGGTCGAGGAGGCCTGCGTTGCTGGATCCTTCGGCTAGGAGGGCTGGGGTTTGGAGGAACCCGTACATGTTGAGCCGGTAGTTCATGGCGACGCTGATGATGGGCTCGCCCATTTCCTGGCTGACTTTGACAATGCCTGACAGGTTGTACTGAGGGTCGGCCTGATTATATGGTCAGTCAAACTCGGGACGGTGTAAGTTGAAGTTGAAATCTCACAATAGAGCCGGTGTATAAACCACCACCGTATATCCAAACCAGAACCGGCAATGGCTTCTCGGGCTTCCCAGCAGGACGAACGACGTTCAGCGTAAGGCAGTCTTCCGACATGTTGAAGGTCCCGCGGTACTGCATACAGCTGTAGCCTTGCTGTGTCGCATCTCGGACCTCATCAAAAGAAGTGTTGAGGCTTTGAGGCCAGCGGTACCTGAGCTGGCCGACAGGGGGCTGGGCAAAGGGGACGCCTAGGAAGGCATCTTGGTCCCAGCCTGAGAGATGTACGCCCCTGTATGTGCCGTTGACCACTTGAGCTGTAGGTTCCTGAGCAGCCACAGCCCGGAGGCAGGCCAAAGCCGCAGTGGCTAAACAGTACAAACGCGTCATTTCAAAGAGCCAGAAGCAGCCGCCTGGCCTAACAAGTCTTCTTGTTATCATTCCATCGCTCTCCCCCTTTTATACGGCCGACAGCGCGCGGACATGCCGCTGTGCTGCTCATCAACTCGTGGCCGAACCACAGGAAAAGCATCGTTGGCCCCTGCCGTGATTGGAGGAAATTGAACAACCGCAATGAAAAGCTCATCGTCCTGATTAACCAGGGGCCGGAAGAAATAAGCGTCTGCCGTCTGGGGTAAATCATTGGGGAAGAATGCGGGGGATGCGGGGGACGCTGTTGATGGCCTATGAGCTGGCCGGGGAGCGATCTCGACTTGGGTTTGAGTGCCAGGGGGCGGACATTACGGAGGACGTTGATAGGCGTCATGGGCTTTCGATAATGATTTTCCGGCACCACGAGGCGAGTTGCTGCAGGAAGGCGTCTGCATCTCAAGAGAGAGCCGAGGGTCGGACGGAAGAATTGAGGCCATTCAGGGTAGCACTGAAGTCGGGTCTCTGATGGCCAAAGATGAGAGCCTGCTGAAATTTGTGAGCTTGGTCTTGATTGAAATGATGCAGTTTGTACGATCTTACCTTGGTACTTGGGTATCAGTGAGCATGGCTGCTTCTTGTGAAGGCATGTGATTGAGATGAATTGATTCGGTGGAGTCGTTCTCACGATGAGACGCCTGTGAGTGAGACACCGTGCGCATGTCGACACACTGTCGATGAACACAGTATGCGCCGGCTAATTGTCGGACGAAGCCCGCCCGTTATTGACGTCAACCGAGCCGAGTTTAGAAATTTGGGATCAAAGCTTCCGATTCTTAGCTCCTCGTCGGGAAACTCAATTTGACATCAACGGCCTCAACATCACGACCCCGCCAGACAATTGCGGTTGCTCAAAGTTCAAACAGCACACACACGCAGATTCTCGACTCAGAAACCTCAATATGCTCTGCAGATCGTGCCGACGCGCAATGGCGCTCTCCCAGCCCGCATCAAACACCCTCGTCGCCAGGGCTTCCGCAACAAGCTTCCCGATCGCAGCGAGAACCTACTCCTCCTCCGCAACTTCTCCCCGAACCGCCGCCGTCTCCTCCCCGTTCACATGTCAACCCGCATCTAGATTGAGGACCGCGACAGTCTCCAAGCGTACCTACTCCTCAGCAACCGAGACCGTACCACTCGAGAAGCCCGACCACCTCGATGCCGCCGAGTCGACGATATGGGACAAGCTGGTCGCCGAGTTCTCCCCCTCAGAGCTCATCGTGCAGGACGTCTCCGGCGGCTGCGGCTCCATGTACGCGATTGACATCACCTCGGCCAAGTTCAAGGGCGCCAACATGCTGAAGCAGCAGCGCATGGTCAACGCGGTGCTGGGAGACATGGTGAAGCAGTGGCACGGCATCCAGCTGCGGACGAAGGCCCCCTGAGCTGCGTTCACGGAATGATATACAATGACGGAAAGATGGAATGCCGCGGCGGCATGATTGTACTATAAACGGCGGTGTACGGACATAATTATACCTCAATGGCAACTCCCCTCCAAGACAGGGCTGAGACGACGGAAAATACAGCATGAAAGAGATTCTACACTGGTACGACGCATGCGAGTGACTCAATGGCTTGATATCACAGTTCGGAATGGGCAAGAGGTGTTGATTTGCGTCTATTCATGGGCTCTCCTATGCTTTCCCCGGAATCGTTCATGATCAAACCGCGGTCCAATGTAACGCGGCTTTGTTTATGCAGACAGCACATGCGCTTTCCCCAAATCCCATCTCTCATACCCTGGAGTCTTCGAGGCATCTGTTAAGATCTGCTGTTTTGACTTTCGTGGGGAATCTGGCCAATGACAAGCATCGTATTACTCCTCCTGCCCGCATAGTGGGACCCTTTATGGGTCGTCCGGACTTCTTTCTCCAGCCTCCAAGACCTCTGTTGAGGGTCGGGAACTTTTTTCTTGAGGGACTTGCGTTATGAAGCTGACAGGCCTTCGGCGAGATTCAGCTTGTGACAGGCTGGCAATGATCCGCCGTAGACTCGGCCGAGATAGTCAGCTTACCACGGGTCTCCTCAGTCTTCTTTCATCCCCAATTCAAAAATCACAAATTTTCATTCACGCTCAGCAGATACATTCCGAGCTCCCTTGTATCATCCAATCAAGCGATCGCCGTATCGGCTCATGGAAGTGCCGACCCTTGCTGCGGCAGCACGCCCAGACAACACATCAGCCCTCGATTGGCTGGGTCGCTTCGGTGACAGGGGCAGAATGCAGTCAGATTTTGGCGAACCGTTAGAGAATGCAACGCCGGGATTTGCGCTTTTGGGTGGACACTGCGTGAAAGAATGATATGTGTGAAATCAGTGGACGAGATGCGAAGATGCGCTCATCGTTGCCCCGATTTGTGAATGCGGCCCGGACCAGAAAGACCCATGAGACAACAGGACCCCGGCGCCGAGGACCCGGAAGTCACCCTGGACCCGAAGAGATGCTGTCAGCATCGTCATCAGATCCAGAACGATGTGACGATAGGCGGGGATGCAATGCTTCTGCCCCTCGTTAGACGTAGCACGAGAGCCTGGGCCGAAGGGACCACAGAAGCCAAATAAAAGTGTCGTATGAGGGCCGTCCCGAGTGGGATGCTTCTTGATCCTTGATCTCTCATCAGTATCTGGTGTCTCCCGCCATCATGGCTCTTCCAGACATTGCAGCCTCAGATATTGCCACATACTTCTCGCCGGTTCACCTGTTCCTCGCCTTCACACTCTACTACATCGTCACCTCGATCGCAGCATGGCGCCGACTGCGCGCCTTCCCCGGCCCCGCGCTCGCCCGGTTCTCCTACCTCTGGAACATCCTCAACTCCCGCACCGGCCGCCCCGCCGAGACCTTCACCCGCCTGAACCGCGAGCACGGCTCTCTGGTCTGCATCGGGCCCAATGACCTGGTCACGGACGACCCGGACATGTTCCGGCGGATGAACGGCGCGCGGTCGACGTACAACCGCTCCTCGTGGTACAACGCGGCCAAGTTCAACCCGCACGAGGAGGCCATGTTCAGCATCCGCGACATCCGCAAGCACGACAGGATGAAGGCGCAGGTCGCGGGCGCGTACTCGGGCAAGGAGAACGACGCGCTCGAGAGCGGGATTGATAGCCAACTGGCGGGGCTGATGGAGCTCATCCGAAGGAAATATGTTACTTCGGGCGAGGACGTGAAGCCGATGGACTTTGGGAGGGTGGCGCAGTACTTTACGCTCGACGTGATCACGGAGATTGCGTACGGGAAGGCATTTGGGTATTTGGCGACCGACTCGGATATCCATGAGTACATCAAGACGACGGAGGATGTTGTGCAGATTCTGCAGATGCTGGGCGAGGTGCCGTATCTGTGTACCCTGTTCTGGTCGAAATGGGTGTTGGGGACTGTTGGACCGAAGCCAACGGACAAGTCTGGAATGGGAAAAATGATGGGGTGAATTGCCCTCTGTTGTTTGCATGTCATTCGGCACTGACTGGCCCTGCAGAGTTGCGAGAGACGTGGTTGCCAAGCGGTTCGGGCCTGATGCCAAAGATGAGCGCGATATGCTGGTAAGTCTTTCGAGACGCTGTTGCTGCGAGAAGTGGAACTGACTTTGACAGGGCTCTTTCGTCCGCCACGGGCTCACGCAGGGCCAGGCCGAGCAGGAAGTTCTGTTCCAGATTACAGCCGGCTCCGACACCACCGCCACGGCTATTCGCACGACCTTTCTCCATCTCCTGACCTCCCCCAATGCATACTATACCTTGAAGAAAGAGATCCACAAAGCGATTGCAGAGGGTCGCGTGTCGTCGCCGATTACAGCTGAAGAGGGCAAGCAGCTGCCTTATCTACAGGTACATGATGTAGTCACACCTTGGTCTCTGTGAATGTCTGCTAACGTGAACCCTACAAGGCCGTCTTCTACGAGGGTCTCCGAATGAATGCCCCATTCACGGGGCAATGCTCCAAGGAAGTACCGGCGGAAGGAGACACCATCGATGGTCGCTTCGTCCCCGGCGGCACACGCATCGCGCAGAACTTCTGGGGCGTAATCCGCAGACTTGACGTCTTTGGAAAGGACGCAGACCTTTTCCGGCCAGAGAGGTGGCTTGAGGCGGATGAAGCGACGAGAGACAACATGGTGAGGACCACGGAGTTGACGTTCGGTCACGGACGGTGGGGATGCTCTGGGAAGAACGTCGCGTTTATGGAGCTGAACAAGGTCTATTTTGAGGTAGGTCAGGCCTGTGTGATGCGAATGAGACATAGTGCTGACGTTTTCCAAACAGCTCCTTCGAAACTTTGACTTTCAGATCGTGAACCCCGGCAGGCCATGGCACAGCGTCAACCACAACTTGTGGATGCAGCATGAGTTTTGGGTGAAGGTAACTGAGTCTGCTACGAGCTAGACGTCAGTGTGTGCCGGCGAGGCTACTTGAATAAGCAAGAACCTGGAATCTGAGAAAATGTCATCATCCTGATCAAGTTACGGTGGGCGATTTCATCTCGGTAGGACGCAGCAACAATCACAACTTGTTAACCGTCGGCTCTGGGCTGTGTAAGATGTCACTAGGTCAATATCTTAGGATATCTTTCTACTATGAATTAAGATAAAATTCCGAAGAATAATAACAACGCAATCGAATTATGACGCACATATGCTATAGAATAATGTGCACTATGATGGTAGGTAATAGGACTTGTTGTTAGTAGACTCTGGTTAAGGTCCAGCAGCTCCAGTTGGGTGCGGTTGAACCAGGCCAGCCACGGACACTAAAAGCCAGGTGAAACAAAACCTTCTATTAGCCGCACTTTGCATTCGGCGCAACAAAAATCTGTCAAATGCTATCGCTCGCTCACAGAAACAACACCAGCGAAATTTCCGTATACGACACTCTGCGAGATGATGCTTCGTACGAGAACCTCATCAGCTCAGCTACAAGGGCCGATGGAGTGGAAGAAACGACATGGATCTCCAAATGCCTTGGTGGCTCAGTGGTAAAGCGTCTCACTCGTAATGAGAAGATCGGGCGTTCGATTCGCCCTCGAGGCAACGATCTCTTACTTTTGCCCTTTGTGGCCTGCAAACGCTCTATTTGTTTTTCATTTTACTTGGGTTTGCCATTCAGCTTTTGAAGAAAGTCATGACCATCGTCTTCACAATTAGCAAGCTTTGTCGCTTTAAGATGACTCTCACTTGTAACTGAACTACTCTTTGCGAATCAAGTGCTTGAAGAACTCGCCCAAGAACAACGCAGACCGCTTAGGATACCGCGTCTTCTCGGGGCTCTCAAAGTCAATCCACGTCGCGCCGAACCTGTCCGAGAACCCAGCCGCCCACTCCCAATTGTCCGTGAAAGTCCACCCAAAGTACGACTTGATCACCACGCCCTCCTGCGAGGCCTTGGCTACTTCCGTCAAATAGCTCCTGAAGAAGTCAATTCGGAACGGATCCTCGAGAACGTCGTCCGGGCCCTTGGGTTTCCAGTCGTGCTCGCCTTGCGCCGTCGTTCCGTTCTCGGTGATGTAGATCGGCACGCCGTACCGGTTCCAGATCCAGCGCAGCAGCTTCGCCCACCCCCACGGCGTCGTGCGCAGCCAGTACGTGTCACTCATCGGCCCCCGCGGCACGCCCTGCTTGTTCTCGTCAAACTGCTCAATGTTGCCCTTGTGATCGTTGATGTCCGCCGGCTCATCGCGGTGCCGCACGTAGAACGCGGAGTACGAGTTCATCCCATAGACCTCGGAGCTGCCGAGCACGAGCTTGCTCTCCTCCGGCGTGAACCGCGGCAGCCGGTCCCCGAGCTGCGCGCGCATCGACGCCGGGTAGTCGCCCGTCTTGTACAGCGGGTCCGCGAACCACGCGATCTCGAACTCGCGCGCGCGCTCGGCGGCCTCGACGTCGAGGGGGTTCGCCGCGTCCCAGGGCTCGGACCAGTTGCCGTGCAGCGTGATCATGATCGTGCCCTGCTGCGACGGCTGGAACTCCTTCTTGTACAAGTCCGCGGCGTACGCGTGCGAGACCAGCTCGGTGTGCGCGACGATGAAGGGCTCCGTGCTGGAGTCGCCCTCGTCGTTGAGCTCGCGGAAGCTGGAGCGCGCCGGGGCGTGCACGCCCGCCGCGTAGCCGGCGAGGGTGTACACGCCGGGCTCGTTGTACGTGATCCAGTTCTTGACGCGGTCGCCGAAGCGCTCGAAGCAGACGCGGGCGTAGCGGACAAAGTCGGGCGTGTAGCGGTCCTTGTCGAGCATCCCGCCGTAGCGGTCCTCGAGCGCCTGCGGGGTATCCCAGTGGAAGAGCGTGACGAAGGGGGTGATGCCGTTGGCGAGGAGCTCGTCGATGAGGCGGTTGTAGTAGGCGATGCCCGCCTCGTTGACGGGGTCGTCTTTGCCACCGAGGGGGATGATGCGCGACCAGGAGAGGGAGAAGCGGTAGCCGCTCACGCCGTAGCGCTTCATGAGGGCGACATCTGTCTTGTACAGATCGTAGGAGCGCACGGCATCGTCGCCTGTGCTGCCGTCCTTTACTTTGCCTGGTGTGTGGGCGAACTTGTCCCAGATGGACTCGCCTTTGCCATCCTTGTCCCAGGCGCCTTCGACTTGGGCGGCGGCGGTTGCGAAGCCCCAGGTGAAGTCGGGCGGGAGGGCGCCCTTGATGGACTCGTCGAACTCGAACTGCGTGGCCATGATGGTCAGTGGGTGATGTGAATGAAAGAAGACTGCCAACTTACCGTGCTCTCTACATCGTGCGAAGCATCTCATGTACAAATGCACGACTCAACCCCACCTCACGATCATGTGCTAATAGCTGGAGCCTCAGAGACGTGATTTCAATGGAGGGGCATTCCTGCGTCGGGATGAAATGATGATGATTCGTGGAGAGGGCATGTCGGTCAGAGCTGGCCCGACGGCTGTTGAGCGGATGGACGGCTGAATGTCACTTCAGTGGGGTTCTCCGAGCCACATGCAGCATGTTCAAATAATGTGGCGGCGCCGTGTCTGGGAGACTCAAGTCGTGAACTCTTGTAGAGAATCATTGTTTCTTCGTAGCTCAATTCAATTGACGAGTCGATGCAAACAGACTGAAGACTCTCAGAAGGTTCAGTGCTGGGGCTCACACTGAGACAGATGTGAACAAATGAAGGGAGGCCATACAGAAGCTTAGCGCTGGGGGTGGTGTGTTGGGGCCTCAACTCACAGGCGTGGGGGTGTTGTAGCGTCCCCGAACCCATGGAGCGGGCCGTCGTTTCTCGGCGAGAGATGCCGGTCGGTGTGTTCAACCACAGGTCTTAGTAATAAGCCGAACCATTGTGTTTGAGCCTCAATACTGTAATAGAAGTCTTGATTTGATGAGTCAGTCTCTCTCCCACTGGAAGGTTGTAAGAGCCTAGGGCAAAGCCTTCGCATAGGGCTTTCGGGTAGCATTTGAGTCCCGATCTACAACGTAAGGGAAGTTGACAGAACATGTGTTCAACATCGACCATTTTGTCTAAACCACAGCTCATTATAATTTTATGTGAAACGTCGTGAGGAGTCTGGTATGGTCAAGAAAGGCTTTCAAGACAGAAAGAATCGACGGAGGGCACCAGGTCGACAACAGCTTGGCTGAGGAAAACCGCAGCGCCGTCCTCATGGTTATTTGTGAACACGCCTTGTCATCTTCGGCTGCCAACGCTTTCCACCCCGCGACATCCACTTCTCAATATGACAAGCTGGGATGTTACAACTTGATCAGCAAGGTCCACCTGGTGGCTCAGCCAACCTCAGTGCATGACCCCTCGAGCGGCCGCACGAGCCGAAGCGGTTAGACCACCACGAGAGGGCATAAAGTCGCGCCAAGCATCTCACCACCTATAATCCTCACGACTTCCGTTAGCCATATACAACCGCCAAAAGATCCATCAGCATGGTTCATCTAAAGATCTCCGAGACAAAACGCGGAAAGAGCGGGCGTTTGACCATTCTCGTCGAGTTGATGAATACTAAAAGAGCGCGAAAACCCCCTGGTTGCCTGCCTGGCGAGTTCACCAATCCTGAAAATCGCTCATATACGTTTTGAAGAAAAACCCTCTTTTTTAATGAGAAACTCGCTTGGAGGCCTCCCGAATACCTTGCGGGATACCCAGTTTGGACAATCATCGAGAGATGACGCAGACGATGGTTGTGTCATGAGGGATAATTCGCCGACACATCCACCACCCGCGCCCACCGATCCGAACCGGCCCCTGAGCGAACTATCCTCAACCCGGGCTACCTGAAAAGCCGGCCATGCGGGAGTTTTTTAGACATCATTTCCAAGGTAACATTTGCGCCGGCCTCTTTGCCATCGACGACTGATCATCTCGTGCTAAAGAGAGCAGATGGTCTGCACCGGATTCAAAGTTTATGCTTTCCGGCCTCTCCGTCCAGCAGCATCGACACGCAATCGTCCGTGTCCCGTGCCCCCCAATCGGACTCAGAGTCAACCGAAGACGGCTTGCCAACGGACGAAAAGCAGCGGCCCATCCGCTCCAGGGCGAGAGGGACCTTGGGGCTTCTGAGACACACGATGCTGTCGTCCTGGCTCAACGTGCTGCTCGTGTTCGTCCCCGTCGGTCTTGGGCTGTTCCTGTCCAATGCCAGCCCGATTTTGGTGTTTGTTTTTAATGGCATCGCGATCATTCCGTTGTCAGCGCTGCTCACTGGTGCGACCGAGAAAATTGCAAGCGATGCCGGAGATACGATAGGCGCATTTCTGAACATCAGCCTGGGAAATCTCGTGGAGTTGATCTTGTTGTAAGTGTCCCTTGGACTCCGTCCCTCGGTATTAGTGTTAACATGCATTTTTTTGACAGCATGTGAGTTATGCTCCAGAAACAGCGGGCACTGGAACTAACAATTCAAGCGTGGCCCTCAAGCATAATCAAATCCATGTCGTGCAAGCGTCCATCCTTGGTTCGATGCTTGTGAACCTGTTGCCCATTCTCGGTACGGCGCTATGTGTCAACGGCCTGTGGCATGATGACCCGGTCCTCAACACAACAGAGACACAACTTCTGAGTTGTCTGCTATTCGTCTCTGTGTTTGTCTTCCTCATTCCGGTACGTTAAATCGAATACTACATTTGAGGGCCTCGCTGAGACAAGGCAGACAGCGTTCTATCACACCTTCAATGAAGCCGAAGATGCCACCGGGGCAATCTTGAAGATGAGCCGGGCATCTGCACTGATGGTACTGCTGATTTACATTCTTTACTTCATTCACGAGTTCAGGACGCACTCTGCAAACCGTTCATACCACGCAGCCCCGATACACTCCTTCGACTTGGAAAGCCTCCCCACCTCTCCGACAATACCAGCACAACAGACAAGGCAGCAGGTTCAAGAAGCTGTTCCTCCCAATCGAACAATCCGCTTCGCAGACGAAGGAACAACGAAGAAATGTCAGGATGCACTTGATACAGAAGTATATTCATCGCAGTTGGACAGAAATGAAGCATCTGAATCCGAGTCCGATGATGACAAACCCGAAGAGCGCCGTGGTCGGGAGACCTGGAAGCCTCGGAATGCCTTTGACCGGCCTAGCTCTCAGCATTCCTTGGCGAGAACGCACAGTCGATCACTGTCACTATCCGGTAGCTCTCGCTGGACATCCTTCAGCCGAGACACTTCCTCCGTCGGAATCGAACATCGAAGATTAGTCAGATCAGGGCTCGCCAACCTGCAAGCCCTTCGTAGTAGTCGTGCGAGCTTAGACACCACCCGCGGCGATCAAGTCCAGCCGTCAAAGTCAATCATTGAGAGGCTGATTCCCGTCATGATTCTCATCATCAGCTCTGGGTTGATGTCCATGTGCGCCGAGTTCCTCGTCAGCACGATCGATGAAGTAACCCACCAGGGGCATCTCTCCGAATCTGTCATCGGCCTCATCATCTTGCCAATTGTCGGTAATGTTGCCGAGTATGTCACTGTGGTGACGGTGGCATCGAGGGAGAAGCTGGACCTCGCCATTGCCGTCGCCGTGGGGTCCTCGATCCAGATTGCCCTTTGTGTGGCGCCCTTGACGGTCATTGCTGGATGGATCCTGTCTCGAGACTTGTCTCTCAGTTTTACCCTCTTCGAGGTGGCCGCGCTGATGGGGACAGCACTGTTGGTGAATCTGTTGATCCTGAGCGATGGGAACAGCGTATTGCGGACAAGCGGGCTCAAGGGCGGCCTCATGTGCGCCTGCTATGTTATCATCGGGTACGTCTAGACTCTTGACAACTATTTTGAATGACTTGCTAATGAAACAGATTTGGAGCATACCTTTCTCCGGAACTAGACGGGTAGACATGGAAGCAGGCGATGTCGACTTTGGCTCGCTTAAACAGCCCATTGGTCTCCTGGATGTGTGATTTATCTTCAAACAGCATAATAAGTAATACAACAAGTTATACAATAAGTAATTGGTAGCCGCCTCGCGATACATGGAATTTGAGTATCGCTGATTGGGCGAGGTTTTCCAGCTAAATATGCAGCGTACTTGCTGACTTGTATTGTAATTCTTCCGTTTTCGCGTGCGTCCTTGTTGTTCCCGTGATCCTGTAGTACAATAGTACAAATGTCCTCTCATAGCCGCCCGACGCCTGAGTGGGTCTGTCAACTGTTATCCGGGCTTACGGATTGTATGTCACAAGACGCTCTTAGTGATTGGCTATTTCTAATTCATCTTTGAGCGAATGCTTAAAGCCTGGCCCCTCACTTGATTGCGCTCGCAAGCCTTTGTCCCAAACCACCCAGCACGCATATACACAATGTCGCAACCGCAACCACTTACGACGGAGTCTTCCGCCGCTGCTGCCGTCCAGCAACCGCCGCCGGTCCACGTTCGGGACCCGATCGTGGCCACAACACGACCCACAAGCCCGGTGTCCGCCGCCAGCCTGAACAGCTCCCAGTACATTTCTCACGGTACTGCTTTCGCAGCCTTCTTCAAAAGCTAATGCTATAATAGGTCTGCAACGACAACCCTTCTATCTGAAAGATAAGAGGAGGAAGGCGACCCAAACATGACAGCGGCTCCAATAGAGCTGGACGTCACTCCGTTGCACATGCTCCATCAAGATCGATGGATCGACTCGCCTCAATGGATCGACTGTCCATTCTGTACGGAGATAGCCGTGATAAACGTCGATATAGAAAATGATACAATGCAAGTGTAAGCAGCACCCCGAGGACAACTCGCAAATTATAACGCGACTGACCGGATGATCCCAGGTGTGGCCCAGGAGTATGCTGCCTCTCGTTGTTCTGCGTATGTGGGGATACCCTATATACCCACTGCTCATGCTCGAATTGCCACGAGAGGCTTGCGACGAAGCCGTCCTGCTACAATATGCAGGTCTTTGGGCCGCAAGGCCCCCGACTAAAGAGACATTGGAACTTACTGTGGGTTGAGTTATTTGGTTGTGTTAGAATAATAAATCCTTTTACATGAGAAACTAATTACAAAGACCTATGAGGGATAGGTGCAGGTGTGCGTCTAGTTAGCTTACTTATCATCACGGTCTACGGAACGATATGAAGCTTCAGATATAGCCTCAATAATGGAAAGTTATAAAAGAACATGGAAGCTTGCGTTCAAGTAGTACAAGATTGTTTGCTGTTTTATGACAAGGGTCAGAGACAAGAATCAAGCACATCAAAAGCGAGCCAGTAGTAGGACTGGTATTAGCTGGTCAAATTAGCGCTGATTACACGCCCAGTAACCCTGATCCAGTTTGAAAATTCCGGTTTAACGACTAGCCAATCCGCCAAAATCTCATCTGATAACTATCATGAACTGGGTATCGATTTCCACTGGTGAGAGAAATGAATTGAGCTTATTTGCTACGACCTGGCCTGACATGTTGAAAACGTCGCACAGGGTGTACGTACCTAATTACTTGAGTCAATCAATCAAGCCTAGTGAGCCAAATGTATCTAGATGTTCTGTTAAGCTTTAGTGATTGCAATAAGGACTAGTACAACTGTAGATAATGCATAGCACACAAATTACATATAATCCGCGAGGAAGAAAAGTATCCTCGTCTATGTGGCTCAATGCATCTCAAGTCTTTCGCGTAAATAAAACATGTCTGAATAGCCATGATTGCATCTGCTCCCTATCTTGTAGTTGAAATTGGCTCTTTCTAATGTTAGTGTTCGGAGTCGTGGACATCCTTGATCGGCACATCGGCAAACTCGCGCCATGCGTTCGGGCAGAACAACCAATCAGGGAAAGCTTGAATCACACACTGCGTCGGATCGAACCTTGACTCATACACTGAAAACTTCAAATCCAATGTTTTGTTCCACAACCTGTCTTCATGGTGCCTTGAAGGTCACGGCCATAGTCGATTTTCTTATCTGCAGCGGAAGGAATTCGCGACCGCTATGATCTGAATACGTTACAACCATCTCTGATTTTCCACCCCAACCACCAGATACCCTGACAAATTAAATGGACGGTCTGCATTAACATTGACAAATGGCAGTTAGACGGTATGCAATAGCTTTCACAGGCGGGAAGGTCCTGTCACCACGATCCGACCAAGGACTCTATACTGCCGACGTTACAGTGTCCCGCGACGGCACTATCGCCTATGTCGGCCTTGAGAACCACGACGAGGTCGCAAATGCCGACGTGATCATTGACGCAGAGGGGAAATGGTTGCTTCCCGGCTTTGTCTCAGCGCACAGCCATTTATGGCAGAGCAAGTTCGCCGGACAAGCCCCCAATAGCACCGTGGCCGAGTGGGGAGACGGTATCTACTCCGAAGCCCGCGATTTGCCAGCATCCGAGTTTTACGACCTCACAGTGCAAGGCGCGAGAAACCATATTAGAAAGGGAATTACGACGGCTTTCAACTTTACGTTTTCCGCACGCTTCCGCGAGGGCCAAACGGACCGGGCCCAGTTCGAAGGGGCTCTGAACTCTGGTATCCGGTTCTGTCACGGGTTCAACATAGGAGCTATCAGAGAAACATGGACTCCAGAGTTGGCCTTGAAGCGCCCTCGACTGTTCGTAGAATGGGCATCTACCTTTAACAACTCTGCTCAATATCTCGGCACCATGATTGCACATCACGGAATTAACTACGACACGGACATCAACACACGCATGGAGGCTGAAGTCATGCGAAAATTGGGCCTAGGGGGACAGATCCACTATTTGGAAAATCCCTAGTCAGTCGATATTAATCTAGAACAGTCCTGCTGGACAGGTTTTATATAGGGCAGGGGGTCTAAAAAGTAGCTAGGGGGGTATAATAAGGTTAGAAAAACTTATAATCTATATTATATAAACTTATTTACTAACTTTACTATAAAAAGAATAGTATCTATATAGTACTTTATATCTATTTACCTAAGTTAATTAAACTTTATTTTAAATATATATAATATATATACTAATATTTACAAGAAATAGATAATATATCTAGAACTCTTTTATTTATATAAACTATAAGGTTTAGTATATATATATAGAATATAAGCTAAATATTATCTAAACTATTATTTATTATTACTTAAATATATTTTAATATTAATTTTATTATAATTTTACTATATACTTACTATTAACTATATTTAATCTTATTAATCTTCTAATTATTCCTATATATAAAGAAAAAATAGACTTTACTAGAGATAATATTATCTCTAACTTATTTAATTTTTTAAATTTAAACC